AGTGAGTGTGCCAGCACCTTTTCGACACCGCCATCTTTGCCGATTTTTAATTATTTTTTGGCATTGACAAATGCCCTGAAAAATTACAGATATGTAGTTTACATAATCAATAACTCATTAAAAATGTTTCAAGAACTACTAAAATTGTTTAGGCCCCGAAATAAAGTGAAAATAAAAAGTTAAAAGTGAAAAAAAACAAAATAGTGAGTGGGCGAGCACATTTTGACTCCCCCATCTTTAACGATTTTTAATGTTTTTTTTGACTTAGCAGAATGGCTTCAAACTTTATAGGACTGTATGTTACATCATAGAGAACTCACAAAAAAACATTCAGAAAAAAAAACTTATTTTTAGGCCCCGAAATTTGTTTTGGCGGGGGCCGAACCTGGAGGTGTTCGACCCCCAAACGCCCGAACGTTCGGGGGCGAGCCCGGAGGCCCCTGAATGTTCGGTCAGGTAACCCTGCCTGGCTCTGATGTTGTGAAAGAAAAATATTTTTTTTTTAGTATGACTGTGTGAGAATTTGTGGGTGTTATGTACCAGTAGGAAGTGTCTAGAATAGTCCCGGTCATCGTGTGGTGTCTAGTAATAGGGTTAGGTGTGAGACGGGAGGTACTTAAGATATGATTAGTCACAGGACTAGTCCTCTTCGACTGATTGGACTGATGGGTTGACGCGTGCGGGTACTGTGTCCCCTCGTGCGGAAACTCATCGGCCATCGCGACCAAGCGTTCTGTCGCAGCGGTTGGTAAGGCTGCTATGAAGAGTGCACCATTTTTCGCTACTGTGTCGTTTGCTACCGAGGTCTCTATTCGGCCGACTCTGTCGCTACCGAGGCTTTCGCTCTCGTGCTCAGCGACTTTTGCGATCTCTTGTTCGTTCTGTCCCTTGGCGATGTCGATACTTTGCACTCCACGATTAACTGTGTCATTAGGCGCACAAAGAGTCTTTTGATACTATCATGGAGTCCCCGTTTGCTTTCGAGGAGATGTTGGATGCTCATCTTGCGGAAGAGGATATTGTGGAGCCACAACCAGAGGTAAAGTAACTGGACGCTTTTTTTTTGTGTGTATATAGATCCTTTTGGGGGGAACGCTCCTTCCTCTACAAACACAATCTGTTATACATTGGTTCTCTAGTATGCTTCTATAATGCCATAATCGTGTGCTCTCCTATTTTTTCCTCTGATGAGCTTAGTCCGTGACAAGACTGGCGAAAAGCATGCTTTAGGATGTTTGTCACCACCCTAGCCATGATTTGCGTTTTTGGGCGGTCACCCACCCTTGTTGTGGTAAATGGGTGATCGATATGTACTATGAGAACCAGTTGTTTGTTGTGGTATGCACGAATGGATTGTATTGATG